ACTCCCGCCCATCACTGTCCATTCTTAGTTTTCCCGCCACTGACTGCTAGGCCAACTCATCCTCACTTGCATTTGGACGAAAGAGCGATCCACTACTTTCGGAGTGGTCAAGATTGGCCGCCTTATTGTTAGCCGCAACTAATTTTGGTATTGGTAGGAAGACTCAAAGGAACGCACCTAGTCCGGAGTCCATTGTATTCATCATCATTTTCAGAGTAGGTGAAGGGGATGAGAACGCCACGTGGATTGTGAAGGGTTTTCATGGATGCCGCTCGAAGGAGCACACCACTCTACACCAAAATAAGCACGGTAAAAATTGTGACAGGGAAGGTGTGATAGGATGATTTAGGAAATGTGAATAGCCCAGGGGCACTGTTTATCACACGTTTGGTCAAAGGATCGGCTTCACTTGTCTCTTTGACGAGTTGTTGAATGGTGCTAAGAATGGCGAGACTTACTGACTATTTTGGTATTCATTCCTCATTTGTCTCATCTTTAAATATTTTACGGCCATCCTGTCACTTGTCTCTTGACTACTTTTCATTTGTGTATTTGGTTGCGCCCTCCTTCCCGTCCTTTTCTCTGGATTCTATTATTATGAGTGATTAATTTTACTATTTTATGAGTGATCGGCACCTTTTTAGCCCTTTCTCTGCAGTCGGTTAGGCATCTTGCCCTTTTAGGAGGCTGGCTCGCGACCAAACGACTGGCTGGACGCCGTATCAAACTTAGATGTTCAGTCACTAGTTTATTAATTAATCCAAAAGTTGGGAAAATTTCATACTTTGCCATCTGGAGACCGGGGCAGGCGAATTTTCATTTTATCTGAAGAAATAGGTTCGTCATTATTGTGTCACTTTCGTAATCTATATCTTTCTCTTTCATCTCAATCACATAAGTCTATACTTCCAAAATCTGGTTTAGAATCTTCAACCAATTCGGTTATTGTGAAGGCAGAGGAAATATGGGAAGTCTAGAAACGGCAGCGAATTTCCGAACAAATCACATTATCCCATCGACTTATTGTAAGCAACTTGTTCCACTTCGTTTAACACAGTCAGTCCTATCCTCCGACGCAGGCTTTCCTTAACTATTTTTGTCGCATTATTTTTAATGTACCGTTTCCAGACGTCCTTCTCCTTCATCCTCGACGTTGTTACCAATTGCTTAGCCTAAGACCCAGGTCGTCGAAAATCAATTTCGCCAATGCCTTAGTTAACTCATTTTAAATCGTAGATTTGAAGACCAATATGGTGTGGCCTTCTGTCTGGTCGCAGTTTCCTTCAGCTATTTTCATCCTATTTTAAATGCTTGCTCTATTTGCTTTGGAATTCACTATTTTCTTCACTTCATTTATGCGTCTACAAATAATTGCAAATTTATCTTTTTATTAATCTTTAATGCATGCCTATTTCTTGGTCTATATCCCTCTTCAAACAGGCCAACTCATGAGATTCAATTCGAGTCTCTCCGCGAGTTCTTCTTCGCTTATTCCGCCTTTCCACGATTTAGCCTGACCTTTGCGAGTGAACTTTCTCATGAGCGCGCCGAATTAGCTCGTCATCTGGATCATTCAATTGAGGATCTTTTAAGCGAAATTATCGCGCACGATCTAACCGCCTCTTGGTCACGAGGAGGGACTGAATTCGCTAATACTCTTGTCATCCTCTTTTCAGACCACGGAGCACGCATGGGAAAGGCCCGTTTGTCTCTTCATGTTAGTTTAGATTGCCTTTTTATGTCTACAATCAGTTCGCTTTTGAGCAAAACCTGTTTTTCAATAAGTTGAAAATAAGCTAACCACATAGGTCTACTGGATAGTTCTAATTTTATTTGATGAAGCTATTGCTTATTTTTCAGAAGCTCAACTAACATGCTAGTAACCATATTCATGTGATCCAATTGGAACGAAGAGGTGTGGCTATGACAGAGAAGGAAACTTGCTGGGCTGAGGTGGAATTTGTGGGGTGTAGGGTCATCTTCGGAAGTTCTACAGTTCTACACTGGCGCCGAAGCGGGCGCGCCTCTTCACTGATGAAAGCATCATCTGGCACGACCGCTGCACCAAATGCTACAAACCCTCCGGTTTACACAATCTGTGCCCGCATGTTTGGCATACTTTTAGACTCCTAGTGGAAAATTATCCCATTTTAAATTAATATATACACTTCTTACCTCTGCATTAATGTGACTGCTGGTTGAGTTGGCCATGATGAATTGTTAGATTTTTCGAGTAAATCCTTCCATTCCTGAAAACAAAGCTATTTTCCCACCGATGATTGACCACAGCCCCAAACTCGTCCAGACCTTATTGACGCCCTGGATAGAATAGAGCTCGAAACAGGCTTAGTTACGAGAGCACAATAAATTCACAAACTGAAGCAAGCGAACAGACAATGATCTCCTGATAGTATCAAGACCAAGATGGTGTGGCCTTTTGTATGGTCGCGGTCTCTTTCGTTGTATAGTAGTTGTTTGACCTTTTTTTCGCAACTTAGTCATATAGTTAGGAAGACCTAGAGGAATGCACCTTGTCCGGAGCCCATATTAAGCACGATAATTTCCAATGACAAGTGACGAGTTGTAGTGTGGTGGAAAGAATGCAAGACTCACTGACAATGCCATAGTAACGTCTGGGAATGTGCCACATCCACTGTCCGACTCTCGAAGCTATCGTGCATACTAAAGGCTCCGGACAAGGTGCGTTCCTCTAGGTTTTGCTACCAATATGACAAAGTTGCAAAAACAAGATCAAACAATTACCATAATGATCTTCAACGTTTTTCCGCTGACTAGACGCACCACTCTTAAATGATCCATTTGTTTCTCGGTTCTGAGTCTTTCTTAGGCTATATTACAGAGACTTACAGAGCCGAGCCCTACTCTTGAGCGTTGGAATAATTCTATATTCCTCGAATAATCCTCAATTCTTAATGGTGAACCTAAACTTATTGTTGATTTCAAATGCTCGCTAATTAATAATTTTATCTTCAACGACTGTGATGCACATCCTTCTTTTCAATATATGTCTCATTTTCAGGGAAAACTTGAGGAACGTTTGCCCTACATGGCCTTTATTTTGCCACTTCAATTTCGTAATCTCTGGCCAGAGGCAGTGCGAAATCTTTTTCAAAACAGGAAACGACTTGTCACTCTGTTTGACCTGCACGACACCCTCTTGCACCTGCTGGATTGGCAGATGGGTAGGGATTACGACTCCTTGCAAAGGTTAGTCGATCTTATTATGTGTGCCTAGTCTTCGAGTAATTGGATTCACTTGAGGTTAGAGCAAAATTATGTGCGGAAGTGGTTCTAAAGTTTATCCCATCATAAGACGACGTTGGATTCCTCTTGTCCAGCTATTGCTTGGTTTTACTGTAACGTTCTGGCTGACTCTACCCCCCACGATTTCAGTAGAAACTTTTTGAAATGTATTTCATCGAAGGTGTGGCCATTATTTTGGTTTTCCTTCATTGTATAGTGTTTTAGCAAGTTGGTAGTGTTGTCAGAACGACATAGGTGGGCACATCTTGCACGGAGTACTCTGCCCTAGTATTCATATAATTTCCAGTGTAAAACTGTGGACTTGGTACACTTCCAGACGTTTCGCCGGCATTGTAGTCTGCATCGTATGTCATACAGTAAGCCGGCGGTTATTGAAACCAAGTCATATATACTATTCTCTCAAACGCCTGGAACAGCAGCCTGGCTTCACTCCACTCTGCATGTCTGGACTGTCAACAGCTGCCTTTCGTCAGCGCCTAGTCCGTCTTGCAATCCTAATTGGTCTACTTGGTCTCTCTAAATCTAGCGTAGCGTTATAGCTGTGCGGTTGATAGTCCACCATCGTTCTATCTTCATGATTCGGACAGAATTATGCAGATCTGAGACCTCTGCGTTTTATTTGGACTTCATAAGAACCAAAAGTCGGGATGGTACTCATTGTGTTACTCAGATTGCGTTGATGGGATGAATAACATCCGAGTTCGCGTTTGAGCTTGGAGTAGGAAAAATTGCTGAGAATAATATGTCATTTACGATCCTTCCAACGCAGAGAGCGTAATTCGTTTTTATTTTCACAATTTAACCTAGTCAATATATTCATCCGTGACAGTTTATTTTTGTGTGTCCCGGGGACTGAAAATATGAGGCGTTATTCATACTGTAGTGACTCGCCTATTTCTCTAAAGGGCCAATCATTGTCAAGCCTAGTTACGCTGAGTTATTTGGGTTGGGCTCCTTTATGAGTGGTGCCAAGCTAGGATGTGAAAAGGGATGCAATTATCCTTTAATCAGTCACCAATCGGTTCGGTGTGTGATGAGTCGAGACAACATATTGATAGATTGAAGTCGGTGCTATAGTAACCGGGATTTTCAGCTTTGCAATTGTCTCCTTTTCGCATTCATCTCTACGACTTCATTGCGCATTTGTATTCACACACACACACACATTTGATCTAGTCGCGGCGTTTCCCTCTTCACCCCGGTTTTCGAGACGCGCAGTTGTGCAGACGCTGGGATCGCCGGCCACTGGTGCGTTTGTCAAGTCTGGAGAGCCGTTCCAGGACCAAAATTGCCGACTGCTTCTCTGCTCCAGTTGCCTGTGCTTCAGGCTTTCCCCTCCGATATGGTGGAGGGTTCGCCGGGACTCGATTGGCCTCCTCTGGTCAAATTGGCGGGTCGTCACCTTATTGTCCATCTAAACAGGGCGACTGACATGATACGTGTCAGGTCAGTGGGTCAACTTGGAAGCAGACTCTGCCAGCAGCTTTTCTTAAAGGAGGTGAGAGGCTAAAAAGCTGCTTTTCAACGTCGTATGTTACCGTTGCTGTTGCGTTTTTAGCATGTGCTTTTGTGTGAGGCGCGAGTGGATTAATGAGTTTGTAGAATTACATAAAAATAAAAGCAGAACTACCCTTGAATGTTATTGGGCTATTACTTCCACGATAAAATTCAACCAGAAGAATTTCCCAGAGTGGTCTCGCTAGAACCAAAAACTAGTTTCCCTTGGAGCTGTTGAGGACAGCAATCCTCGGTGCATTTTTCTCTCAACCCGACGAATCCGTAACTTCATGTTTTGCCTAATTGACCCTGGAAATAGCTCCAGGCCAAATTCTCTTTGGGTTTCGATGTGGCCAATCTACGAATATTTTCCGTCACACCGTTGACACCCATTTGCTATCATTATTGTTTTCGACTCATAACTGCAAGTACCATTCTTTTTAATAGGACTTCATATCGAATTCCGTCCACTTCATATAAGTCGGTTCCTGATTGTCGCACCCCGTCCGAAGTCCCCTGTCATAGTAGTTATCATAATTCCCAGCATCATACAGTGGACTTGGTACATCCTTAGAGTTTGTAGCTTGGTGCGGAGAATGGCAAAACTCATTGATGATGCCGACGAAACGTCCGAAAATATACCAAGTCCACTGTCCGATGCTGGGAATTATGTTAATTACTATGACAGAGGACTTCGGACAAGGTGGGTTCTACTAAGCCGCCCCGACAATAAGACCAAGTTGCGACAATGAGATCAACTTACTTCTATAAATCGAAAGGAGAATGCGACCATATCGGGGGCCACACCATCTTGGTCTTCATATCTTCGAAGAAAAGTTGGGTTTAGAGGAATCTATTGTTTCATAATTGTTGAGCTTACTCCCATTTCGAGTGAAAGTGTTGGATGAAGAGATTCGAAGGTCGGTTCCCCTAGAAGACAACGGCGGATTCCTCTTGACTAGCTGTCGATTGGCTTTACTGGAAGATTCCTGCTAACGCTGTTTCCGAGGCAATCTCCTTCGATTCCGGT